ACACATATTAGCCAGTAAGCCGCAATGAACCTATTATGGCGAGTGAGCGCAGCTAATGAGCTAAAATGAATCAAATTGTGTCCTCGGTGGGGGATATTTTAAGGGATCTATATGAAGAAAACCTGATCATCTGTTTATCGTTCTATTACGTGCTTTTTCACCTCCCTAACTTGGCCTAAGACAGTTTTTACAGACGAAAGGAAGCTTGATAACTACTCCTCACACACATGTATAGATTATCGGCTTTTCTACACAAGTCATGAATATCGTAAAATGTTAGCCAGTGAGCAGGCCCGCAATGAACCTTTTTAGCGAGTGAGCCCAGCTAATGAGCTAAAATGAATCAAATTCTGTACTCAGTCACAGTTGGTGATATCTTAAGGTATCTACACAAAGAAAACCTGCTTATATAAATCTCAGTGGCGGATCCACAACTTTTCATAAAAGGGGGGTGGCCGCTGACTGACCTAAGGGTTGCCCACTCCCGTCATGCTTCCCAAGTGGCGGATCCGGGGGAGGGTTCCGAGGGTTGGAACCCCCCTTTTTTTGGACGATCAATGCATTTGAATGGGGACACATGGTTGGAACACACCCCCACCCACCCTTTGTCCTGAGTTGGGAACCCCCCTTTTATAAAATGGCTCGATCCGCCCCTGCTTCCCTATAAAATCAACCAAATTTTCCCCACCCCCTGGATCCGTCTATGTAACTGTTTATCGTTCTGCGTAATACTGGCTTTTTCACCTCCCTTACTTGGCCCTAGACAGTTGCTTATCTCAATATCTGTTTATCCTTCTGTCACTGGCTTTTTTTAGACTAGAGACTTCATGTGTACAAACCTGACGTCAAACTCGTGTACTATAAAAGAAGAGACAAATTATTTCACATTAAATCCTGTAACATTACATCTAAAGATAATTATAATCCAAAGTAAATTATATTACGATGTCAATGGACTAAAGTCCGGGAAGCACTAATGACAGGACGATTGCCCGGATAGTGACAGGACGATTGACCGGATGAGATATAAATAGTCATAACTTTTTTGTTATTCGGTAGATTTTTTTAATATTTGTAGACCTTAGAGATATTAAACTATATTTTATGAAAATAAAACAAAATAAATGAAAAAAAATATTTTTGAGCAAATAAAGTTGACCGGACGGTTTTCACACCCGCCGATATACGCTATACATATATTCAACTGGTCGACAACAGGTGTTAATATCTCTTTTGTTTTACAATATTTGTCGATGAAATTAAGGAATCTGTGAGAATAATAAATATATAATACGAAAATATAAACTTTATAGTTAACAAAAATGTTTTTCTGCAAAAAAAAATTGACCGGACGGTATTGACATTCGCCGATGTACGCGTTGATTATATTGAACTGATCAAACAAAGTGTTTATATTTTTTTTGTTTTACAATATTTTTACATGAAACTAAGAAATATGTGAGATCAATAAATATATGATATGAAAATATAAATTTTATAGTAAAAACAATTGTTTTTCTTCAAAATAATTTGACCGGACAGAATTAACATTCGCCGATAAATGCTTTAAATATATTCAACTGATCGACAAAAAGTGTTAATATTTTTTTTGTTTTATAATATTTTTTCATGAAATTAAGGAATCTTGGAGATCAATAAATATATGATATGAAAATACAAACTTTATAGTAAAAAAAAATGTTTTTCTTCAAAAAAAAAGTTGGCCGAACGGATTTCACATTCGACCGATATTTGCTTTAAATATATTGAACTGATCGACACAAGTGTTAATATCTCTTCTTTTTTTGCAATATTTTTAATAAATATATTATATGAAAATATTAACTTTAGAGTAAATAGTTTATATTACTTTAGAACAAATGGAATTGTATATTTCTTCAAATAGTAAAAATTGCGGCAACAAATTATTAGCCGACCCCTTCCGTCTGCCAGAATTATTCTGCCCCCTGCTCACCAACGGGGAGGTGGAAGTGGAAATTTCGAGCAGGATATACCTTTTATTTCAAAATTACATCGTTATTACAAACAAAAAATTCTAATTGCCAACTGATTATATAAGGTAATTCAATTAAATGTATTTGATGTCTCAGGTGTGAAAACTTTAATGACATGTTATTTGGCTTGATTGGTGATTACGACAAGTGTCTAAATTAGATTAATCTAATTAAATATAAGTACTTCTAGTGAACTCACTCAAATCAACATTTTGGGCTCAAAGTTTTTACTATAAAGTTTTTATTTTCGTATAATATATTTATTAATCTCACAGATTCATTTATTTCATGGACAGATATTATAAAAAAAAAAAGAAGAGATATTAACACTTGTGTCGATCAGTTCAATATATTTAAAGCATATATCGGCGTATGTTAATTCCGTCCGGTCAACTTTTTTTGCAGAAAACATTTTTTTTTTACTATAAAGATTAAATTTTCGTATAATATATTTATTAATCTCCAAGATTCCTTAATTTCATGGACAGATATTGTAAAAAAAGAAGAGATATTAAAACTTGTGTCGATCAGTTCAATATATTTAAAGCATATATCGGCGAATGTTAGTTCCGTCCGGTCAACTTTTTTTGAAGAAAAACAATGTTTTTTACTATAAAGTTTATATTTTCATATCATATATTTATTGATCTCGTAGATTTCTTAGTTTCATGTAAAAATATTGTAAAACAAAAAAAATATAAACACTTTTTGTTGATCAGTTCAATATAATCAACGCGTACATCGGCGAATGTCAATACCGTCCGGTCAATTTTTTTGCAGAAAAACATTTTTGTTTACTATAAAGTTTATATTTTCGTATTATATATTTATTATTCTCACAGATTCCTTAATTTCATCGACAAATATTGTAAAACAAAAGAGATATTAACACCTGTTGTCGACAAGTTGAATATATGTATAGCGTATATCGGCGAGTGTGAAATCCGTCCGGTCAACTTTATTTGCTCAAAAAAAAATTTTTCATTTATTTTGTTTTATTTTCATAAAATATATTTTTATATCTCTAAGGTCTACAAATATTAAAAAAATCTACCGAATAACAAAAAAGTTATGACTATTTATATCTCATCCGGTCAATCGTCCTGTCACTATCCGGGCAATCGTCCTGTCATTAGTGCAACCCCTAAAGTCCCGCGCAAATGTCATCACTGGGATAGACCAAAACGAATTTTAGGTTTATGTATCATTCACATTCCGATCAATTTACTCCGTTAAATAAAATAAATGTGTTAACTATTTTTATATTGGTTTTGGATTTAGTTAATCTATCAGAAAAAAAGATTTATTTCTCGCAGATAGCCCTCAATACTATACACCAACTCGACACTGAAGCTAAAAACCCTAAAACATAATAGTATATGGAATCGTCCAAACGGATTACCTAATATTGATATAGGTGAAATATGTAGATTCAGAATTGTGTACACAGAAATAAGATCAGAAATAAAGCCCTATGTAAGGTGAAAACAATAACACAACTGTATAAAATCATTGTTTATTAAATTTGCTTGCATAAGAACCATGAAGTTAAAATTTATAACGATTACGTTTATCCTGTCAACCCCTTTTCTTCATTGCATCAAGGCTTCCGTTGCTTTACATCGAGCAGCAATTCAACCAATCGGGGAATGTTAAGTTGGGACATACCTCTATTTTTGGAAGCGTGATCTTTACATCGAGGCTTGCGTTGCTTTACACCGAGGCCACAGTAGTTCGACCAATCGGGGAATGTTTATTTGGGGCATGTGACCTATTGAACTGCAGGTTTTATAATATTTTAATCGAAATTGTAGAAAAATGAAATGTTGTTAGTACATACAAAACAGAAAATGATGAATAATTTTAGTAAAAGATAATTTGGATCCGGGTTCTGTGTATTCACATCATTTGTACAACTCTCCTTACTGATGCCATTTTTTGGAATTTCTGTGACCTAAATGGTTCGCGAAAATTAATATTTTATTATATAGTATGTTAACCATTTATTGTTAATGTGTTAGTGTGAATAACGTTATCTTTATCTTATAACATTCAAAAGTTATGTCCCTTAGTTATCTTACACATAGGGACTTTTTGGAACAATCTTGTGGTATGATTGCCAATGAGACAACTATCCACCAAAGTTCAAATAAAGTGAATGTAAGCAATTATAGGCAACCGCCTGACCTTCAACAATGAAAGACCATATATCTGTCGTTGTTAATCAGGTAAACCAAAGTTAAAAACGAAAAAAATTAGTAATTGAAAAAAATAAAAAAATAAAGTAATGGATTGGATTTGAGAGCGTTCTATTTGAACTGCCACTGGGGGGGGGGGGGTTATGTTAATAAGACGGGGAATTTTGCTCGGTATAAACATTTCTATAACCCAGTATGAAAAAAACATTCAATTTTAAAATGCGTCTGATAAGTATTCACACACAAACGCACCAACCCAAAACTAAGTTCATCTTGTAACATAATTTTTCTATAAGAATGCATGTAATAAATAATGATAAATGTAATACAATATTATAAATTTTTTGTGCGTAACCTGCTTTAAAATATGAATTTAAAGAAAAAAGAAAATCGTCGTTCCATTTTGTCTATATAGTGATCATGGATTTTATCAAAAGTTTAACTTGTTGAATTGTTTTTTTTTATAAGACGTCTATTTAGTGCAAAGCCTAGGTTGAAAGATAACATTGGCATATTTCCGTCTCTTAGTTATTATACATATACCATAAAAAGACCAGATAACGATTAACGTACACCTACCCGAGTTTAGTTTCTTGAAGTCGGCTAAGTTATAGAGGCGGACATGTTAACTTAAATAGAAAAATAAGTTTACACACCTGCATAACAAAATTGGATCGAAGTCTATTTTGATAAGTTTTATCAGATACAGCGAAATATTTTAGTTTAATTAATATGAAAGAGAAGATGTCGAGCGAAAAACATAAAAATGGCGATATGTCTGTTTCAGATCATGAGGACATTAGCGGATCAAAGTTTTATGTTGTGTTCTTAACAATGTTTGCCACCATAGGTGGCCTTTTATTTGGATATGACACGGGTATCATCTCAGGATCAATGTTATTGATGAAAGATTACTTCAACCTGACTACTGTATACCAAGAGGCCATAGTTAGTGCTACTATTGGTGCAGCAGCCTTATTTGCGTTGATTGCTGGTATAATCACTGAACGTTTTGGAAGAAAGGTGGTGATTATGATTGCAAGTTTTGTTTTTACTGGTGGTGCTATAATGATGGCATTGTCAAACAGCAAGGAGCTTTTACTGATAGGGCGCCTAGTTGTTGGAGCTGGAATAGGTAAGAAAAATATTCAATAGCATTTAAATGACATAGGGCGATCGACTTTTTAAATTGCAGTAATTAAATGCTGGAGTCAGTTTATAATATCGGAATAGTGTGTCCTTTTGGTGTAAAAAAGCTTACTTTTAACGTGAATAATTTAGTCATTTACAAAAAATGGTACATTATCTATGTTAAGTGATATTTTTTGTATGAATTGAAATGTTGTTATGTCTCCGCCGTAGCGGAGGGGGCAATAAGTGTTACCCTTGTCCGTCCGTCCCGTCCGTCCCGAAAATTGGTTTCCGTTCTCTAACTTTAGTTTGCCTCAACCAAATGTTATAAAACTTATACACAATGCTTATTACCACAAAACAAAGATCAAGTTCAAAATTGGGTGGCGGCAGTTTTATCGTTCATGAGTTATGCCCCTTTATAAACGTACAAATTGCTGATTTTTTCGTTTCCGTTCTCTAACTCAATAAACAACAGATACATTTATCAATTTGTACATACACTGAATCTAGGAAGCTAAAAAGTAGTTTGAATAATTTTGTATTGTTATTATTGTCTCGCATGCGACGAAGCCGCAGAATGCGAGACATAGGAATAACAATCCGGCGGCGGCGTAAACTAGTGTATAAAAGTTTATATTTCAGAGGATAGAAGATCGGGATGCTTCATACCTTTAATTTAGATGCCTTATGTTACGAAATTTCCGTCTGTCGTATGTCAATTATCATTTCCATGGTTCATTTGTCAATGTTACGTTTCTGTAGTTTGGTCTGTTTCTTAGATACTATACCAATAGGTCAACTATAGTTGATGCGATGATGGAATAATTGTAAAATGTACATGTGTTTCAGGCATGTATCATCTGACCTTGACCTCATTTTCATTGTTCATTGGTCAATGTTAAGTTTTCATGGTTTTAGTCTGTTTATTGGATGATGTAAGCTATAAATCAACTATACTGTATCTGGTGTTTGAAAAGATTGTAAGGTGTACATATCTGTCTGGCAAGAATTATTTGACCATGACCTTATTGTCATGGATAATTTGTCAATGGATAGTTTTCATGGGTTGGTCTGTTTATTGGATACTTTAAGTATAGGTCAACTATATGTGGTGTATAGAATGATTGTACGGTGTACATGTGTGTATGGTCGGGTTTATCTGACCTTGAGGGCTTGCATAGACTTAGCTTGTTGCCAATCCAATTCAATTAATTTTGAAATAAATAAATAATTGTTTAAACCTTATCGTCCTCCGTTAAAAGAAATGGAAAGAGCGTCGTTATAGGTCATTAAGGATGCTTTTGTCCTATTCTACAAATTGGTGTAAGCGGAAATTGTCTGATAAACAATCACGCGATTCTTATTTTAAAACATTAACGAATATTGTGAAAACTAGATTATCACATTTTGAAAATAATTTAGGTATTTATAAGAAAGTTAAAAGATACGGCCATTTCTAGGATTAGAAATAAACTTCAACGACCCTTCAAAACGGTGTGTGCTCATACCGGCCGACAAAGCAGCCAATAATTTGGTAGTTGTATGACGTAAATACTACACAAAAGGTCTTAGAAACAAAGTTATACATTCTTCTACATTTAAATCCATGCGCTCAATCAGAGTCAAATTTTGCATAATCATATCACATTACAGCTTAATGTCTCTGATGTACACTCGAAAGTCACTTTTATGTTTTTGGCTACCTAAACTACATAAACAAAACGTCAAATATCGTTTCATATCGACTTGAAGTAAGTGTTCTACAACCAATTTTTATGCCCTTTTGACTAGTTCCTCGACTACAATTAACAAACTTGTTTTTAATTTTTGTAATAAATCACGAATACATGATGGAATTACTTTTTTTTTGTGAAAAAAAGTCTTTGAATGCTTTAAAAAAAATTACGTACTTTTGATGGTTCTTTCAATTTATTGGACAGCTATGACTTTTACACGTCCACATACTCTTATTTAATCAAGTATATATTAACTTTCTTCTGCAATGAAAAAGGGGGAATGCTAGATACACTTACTAAAATGTGATGAGATGATTAAAGCTGTAAATTTCCTCCTCGACAACATTTAAGGAAGTTTCGGCAATAACTTTAGTTGTAGGTTTTCCTATTGGGCAATAATTGCGCATCTTTCATAGTAGACATGTCCTGTTTTGTAACATTCACAGAAAATGGCTAAACTCGGTAAAGATCTTTTAAATTTTGTTTTATAGAAAAAAAATAATTATTACTGCTACCTTGAAGATTTTTTTACTTTAAATAACCAAGATTTTTTTTTATTATACTGTGGATATTTACCCAAGGGAACTGATTTCAAATTATTCTAATTTTCCAGCAATACTAATTTGTCTTTTTTCAGTTTCATACAAGAAACTATACTTAAATTTAACGACAACAGAGATGAGTTTTCGTTTCCTATGGTTAATTTACCTTTTTTGAACGGTGTATTGTTACGATGTGTATATTTCCCAACTTGTTCGCTATGCAAGCCAGGGATGTCGGAACGACAAATAACTTTAAGTCTTTCTAAATTCTTTCAATGATACAAATATTTGGTTTAAAGTTTAACCTTTCCTGTAGAAACCTTATTACAAACGAGATATAACGTCCTAATTTTAACGTTGTAGTTGTTTGTTATAGTGCGATGTATATCTTATCCGTCCTTTGAACGAACTTATTCTGAAAGCTTAACAATTAACACTGAAGTCAGATCTTCGAATTTTGTATTCATCGATACATACATTGGTTTTGATTTTAATGAACTGAGACATAACTTATTATGTTTGGCTGAACAGTTATAAACACTTTTGGTATTACATTTTCGATATTTATATTTCGGATTGCACATTGCTATGCTTTTTTCAGACTCTTTGGCCATCTTTTCACTAAGACCATCGGATTGGAAATATTTTTTTGTCATGGAAAACATGGTTTGTTTAATTGTTATTGAAATTTTAAAGGCTAACTAAATAGTATAGGTTTTGCTCAATGTTGAAGGCCGTACATTGTCCTATAGTTGTTTACATTCTCGTCCCTTGGTCTGGGTCACACTTGTCCCATTGGCAATCATACCGCATCTCCTTATTTATGTCATTTTTTATGAGGAAAATATATTATAAAGAATCTACTTACGCATGGAAGTCATATGATGGTAATAGCTGATACGACCCTTTAAGGTCAGATGAAACACCTTTAAACAGGCGGATACCCAGTTGTAATTAAACAAAAGAAATGGAACTCTTTGTTAGAGAAGGTAAAAAAGCCAAATTGGTATATTTGAATTGTTTACATCTGTTTCTATGGGATTTAAAAGTTTAATAAAGGTGCATAATTTCGGATTTTATGCATCTTATATAGTGTTTTTACTTAAATTATAGTATGGAGCTTCGAGATATTTGTAACTTTGAAATTATATACAAATTTTCATAAAACAGTCGATTGTGGTAGGTGCAAATACAAGTGGATCTATTTTGTGCATAAGCATGAATTCCGCCGAAAAAATTTGCACATAAAGATAATAGATTAATCTTTTTAAAGCATTATTTGCATCTCTGCCACCGGCGACAGTTTTTTAGGAAAAAAACCTAAAAATGGGCAATAATTCAGTCATCGAAAAGAGAAAGTCGAGTGCACCTTCTTGACTTACATCTAAAATTGAAAATGAAGGTCGGTTGAAAACAAAACTTTACGACAAAAGAGATGATTTCAGCTTCAAAATTGTGAACTTTCCATTTCTATGTAGCAACATTCCAGCAGCGCCTGCATACGGAGTATATATCTCCCAATTGATACGATATTCCCGGGCTTGTGTTTCCTATCATGATTTCCTTGATAGAGGATTGCTGCTCACAAGGAAGCTATTAAACCAAGAGTTCCAAATGGTGAAGTTGAAATCACGGCATCACGAGTTGGTTGACCGTTATGGAATAACCGTTTCACAGATGATATCGGATATTTTCCTTATGTCGTAAAGACAATACCTTTCCCTTTTCACGAATGTGACTTACCGAATTAGACTTTTTACCGGATTTGTAATAACATAAGCAACACGACGGGTGCCACATGTGGAGCAGGATCTGCTTACCCTTCCGGAGCACCTGAGATCACCCCCAGTTTTTGGTGGGGTTCGTGTTGCTTAGTCTTTAGTTTTCTATGTTGTATCATCTGTACTATTATTTGTCTGTTTGTCTTTTTATTTTTGGCCATGGCGTTGTCGGTTTGTTTTCGATCTATGAGTTTGACTGTCCCTCTGGTATCTTTCGTCCCTCTTTTATGTTCGGTCGGTTGAGTTGACTATTCTGTCTTGAAAACGTATAAAGCAAAAATAATTGATAGATCATCTCGCTTCAGATTCTATTATGTTTATATATTTAGGCTACAGGTTGACTTAATAACATTAAAAATTCACAGTGCTAAAAAATGAAATATATGCGTCAAGTGAAATACCTTTCTAATGAGTCATAACAACAGAGTAGGTGTGTTCGAATATCAAATTTTTACTAAAAGTACTTGACGACAGACTTTGCAGGTGGATCTTAAAAATGCATAACTTCAAAAAAAACTTCATTTTTTGTGTGTGTTATCTAGGGTTATTAGTTTTCAACCTCTGAAAATGTTTAGTCTGCCCTTCCACGAAATATTTAATTAGAATTTTTTTAAATGTTTTTTTAACTTTCGAAAATTCCACCTGACAACCTATCAGACAATAGTTTTAAGATGACTAAATGCAGAAAAGTACATTAAATGATGCTCAATAGCTAGTAGATATATTTGTCTTTTAAAATACAACTGGCATATAATTAAGGATCGTAATGTGGAAACATTTATCGGTTTTCAAGAGCTAAATTGGCAGCGCGTCATCCCTACAATGGCTTCCATTTTTACGATTGTAAAAATTAGAAGGCGTGATGAGGAGATCATTTTGACGAAGTAGAATCCTGACTGTAAAGAAAAGTAGTTTCTATCCAATCATGCTAATAGTGGTTAATATGTGCACTAAATTTGAGAAACAACATGCTTTCTATTTCGCCACAGTGAAGTTCAATGAGAACACAAACCAAAATGCTATTGCAGAAAATAATAATTATAATGCAATTTGTGTGTAACATTCTTTTTACGTTGGATAAAAAAGACAGACTTAAGATACCAAAAGGATATTCAAACCCATAAGTTGAAAACAAACTGACAATACCATATCAAAAAACGAAAAATGACGAAAAGACGAACAGTACACAAAACACAACATAGAAAACTAAAGATTGAGCAACACGAACTCCACCAAAAAACCGGGGTTGATCTCGGGTACCCGGAAGGGTAAGCAGATTCTGCTCCACATGTGGCATCCGTCGTGTTGCTCATGTAAGTAGAAACCAGGTGATAAGTTTAATTCGGCAGGTCACATTCGAGGATTCGTATTTCTTTTTTGTAATGCATAAGAATCTGAATAACAGTACTGTAGAGTTGCCGCTGTCAATTTTGTTTTACGGTCGCAAACATCCGTTTTACTGTCTCCGCTACGCGTGTTTAATCCTATAATGGACTTTTAAAAAAATATTTGTTGGTTTTTATCTTCAACCAGAAACACACAAACTTATATCAAACGTGTTCGGTCATATCCACTGGGAATCAATCAACAACAAAATGAAGAAAAAAAGATTCTTTTACTGTGTATATATCGAAATCAAGTGCATATTGTACTATAGGCATTGGATCATTTTTGCAATATCCTAGCTAAAAAGTTTAAATCACCTTATCTTCTAAATTTTCATAACAGGATTTACTATATAATCGACAGGATTTTGTGTAAGTAAAGACAGCTTTTATCAAAGATAGAAAAAACAAATCTTCATTCCCCCAAGTTCCCTCAGGCTAAAAATTATCTTCCGTTGCTAATGTGTACGAATACTTTAAAGTCCGCTATGAAAATCAAAATGATAACAATTATTCATACCGTAGTAGTTTTGGAAACGAACTGGTTGTTTTAAAAGGTAGCTTATGTATACTTCCTTAATCTTTCCGATTCTTCTTGGACATGCTGGTATTTTTACCTAGTCCTTTACTTTTCCTTTTAAAAAAGGTTAATCATATCAGATCGGTCACTTACCGAAACGTTTTATTTTCTACTCTTTGCACAATCATACTAAACCTATACTAATATCAGGCTGGTGTTACCTGTGAAAGGAGCGAAGTCTGTATAAATTGCAATTTAAATAATATTACTGATTTTTTTTTTCAAATATAAATCAATTAAATGTTCAAAATTATCTAGAAGAACAAATTGTCATATTCTGAACTGATAAATACCCTGTCGGTGCACCTGATCGTGCTTCTTTTTGAGTTAATGCGATTCCCCCGTTTTTTGTTTTGTTTGACCTTGATTTGGTTCTTCTCAAAAGGGCGTTAGCTTCGATTTTAGACAAACAATTAAAATATGTTTTTTGTTTAAAACATTTACAAAAGCGGAATTTCGGAATATTATTTCGCTATTAGCAGTCAGTTTTGTCCAATTTTGTCAAAATAAGCACAACAACATCACTGTTATGTATAATTGACTTGCAAGTCAATAATTCAACCTCTTTTGAATTCGTATTCATGCAATCTACAATTTGACCCTTTAGTTAGCTAGTTATAATTGGTTAACAATGGGCTAAGCATGTTCAGTTGTTAAAAAGAAAAAAGAAATGAAAAGTGAAACAAGGTAACCATCGGGAAGAACCATTTCGTTGACTGTATTGACCCACAAAACATTCTTATACTTGTAAAAACGAAGAATGACACTTTTATCAAATCTCTAACATTAAATCAAATAGACCTAGAAAAAAATCTTCATTACATGATTACACGTGCTTGTCTGTGTTTATGTCCATATCGAGTCAAAGACCATGGTCATTCTTCAGAGGTCACCGCGAGGGTTTATTAGATGGCGTCTAGTCTAAACTATACACACAATGTTGATTATTATAACGAGTCCATTCATAGTTAATTGTTTCTTTTGGAATTTTTGTAATTTGGATATACGTTTCAGTATGCTATCAATCAAAAATGAGAATTTGAGTCAATCGGTAAACATGAATATAATAGCTAATGCCCCTTTAATGTATTCATGATATTCGAACATCGGTAAATTCTGTTGCCTGTAAATCATAAATGAATCAAAAATGTTACGGAACTGGAGAAAATTAATAATCTAAAGAAACCTATTTCGGTAAAAACATATAGTCCAACATTCTCGAGCAGAATCGTAAATTCGAAACGAATAAACTTACGTTCACGTTCCTGTTAATTACTTCCGTTGTATGTTTAGGTATCTTGAAAGGACGACGCAAATCACACACAAGTCAATTGGGAAATAAACTTATGAAAGATACCAGGCTTATAATTTCGTACACCAGAAGCGCGTTTCGTCTACAAAAGACTGATCATTAGTGACGCTCGAATCAAAAAGTTAAAAGGCCAAATCAAATCAGAGTTTGAGAATCCATCGCCAACGGAGTGAATTCACACTGCATCTTGTGTAGACGAAATAGTAACAGACAATCACCGAATTCTTTATATCGCTTTTAATATAATTAAGATTGACGGGCGTTGCCGAGTTCTTTTATCATAGTTTTGCTGACGCTTTAAAAGTACAAATACTTTAATTTTCTTAAAGAGCAGTGGGTGTTTTATACATTGAATAAATATACAATTACAAAATTAATGTGTATTCGATTTGTCAATTTGGGTTTGAAAATGCATACAACTGCTGGACTCTTTTAATGTAATTTCTAGTTCAGATTAAAATAGGTGTGTTAATATACTGCAGGTATTATGTAACTTTTAATCATCACAAGGTTTTACATCCTAATTAAACGCCGACAAATATTCCTGTCTTCATTTAGGTTTTGCCTCCATGTCAGTGCCGATTTATGTAGCTGAAGCTGCCCCAGCATCAATACGAGGAGCTCTGGTATCCCTTAATCAACTGTTCATCACAATAGGAATTCTACTGTCGAGTATTGTGGCAGGGGCTTTCAGTGGGGACAAAGAAAATGGCTGGAGGTAATTCTCTATATTTATCATGTATCACTTCACTTCACTTCACTTCACTTCACTTATTCAAATGTTCTAATATTGCTGTACTATTGTAAAGATTGTAATTTGATGATGATGATGATGATGATGGATGACTGCTTAACGTTCAGTGGCATATTAAATGCATATTCAGGACGAAAACATGTTAATGCAATATGAATATCAACCCTGCTTCGTACTATCCCAACACACTGAGTGGGATTTTTAACGTACTAGTTCACAAGGTAACAGTCAGCAGGCAGACATCTACCCGGACATATTATCCCGACTTCGAGCTGGCCAGTATTTCCTCTTTTTCCATAATGCCGCGTGCTTAGCGGAGGAGCAGCAAATACCAATTTTAAAGTCTTTGGTTTGACCCGACCGGGGTTCTAACCCACGACCTCTCGCACTCAAGGCGAACACGCTACCACGAGTCCACCGATGCGGTTGATAGAAATTGAAGATTTTGGATTAGATCTTGAAATGTTTTAACCGCTGGTTGAATAAACCTCATCTTTGTGAAGGCCATCTTTCACTGAAGAAAGAATGATGGTAAACACTTTAAAAAGATGTTTAGTCGATTATCTTGACAAACCGGCTATATATCATTCTTTATCAGGATTTTTGTGAAGTTGAGGTATTGAGTAGATGGGAGATTTCCCGTTCATCGTCTATTTTTATGTTAATACCAAACGAGAGAAGGACGGATTTGTGATTTTCTAAAATATCCTCCTGTGTGCATGATGTAGGGTTAAATGTGGGATTTCCAGTTTTGCTGTGAAATTCTTTAGTAAAGACATTCCAAAAAATGATTTGTGCATATGAAAACAACATTGTTTGAGTCTTTGTCTGCTGGAACAATCATATATTTGTTGTTAAAAGAGGATAACGTATCCACAACCTTGGGCTCCATGAAACGATCAGAAACATTTTATAACGTAGATTTTGAATCCGCTTTTGAATGCATGACCGAACAAGACTGTCCGTCTTATAGGGTTCATTGAGCTCATTTAATGGTTTATTGGTAAACGTAAAATTTACGTGATCAGATCCATTTCACAGATACTATAAATAAAAGTTTATACACTATATGGGGTGTATATAATTTTTGTAATGTGTACATTTCTATTTTACATGGTTCATCTAACCATGACCCTCAAATTCATTAGTCTATGATTAATGAAATATTTTCGAGGTCCGTTTCTCAAAAACTGCAATCGATAGAACCATATCTGGTGCATAGACTGATTGTTATGTGTACATATCTGTGATAGGATTTATTTTATATTGCATCATTTTCATGGTTAAATTTCTCAGATATTATAAGAAAAAGGTTAAGTATATTTGGTACTCTCATGGTCGTAAGGTGTACATGCCGTTGTGACAAGGTTCATCTGCCATTGGTCTCTTTTGCAGGATTTGTTGGTTAATGATAGTATATAGTATGAATTTTCCATGGAATAGATAGGGAAAGACAATTATTTCAGATTGTCCTTCACGTTTAAAGTTCGGATTTATGCCATTTCTACCGTTTTCAAAATAATCAGAAAATGGTCAGTAAATGTATGACTGAAAACCACAATTTTTCCATAACGTATCTCATTGAAACATTAACCTTTGTGCTTTTTTTCAATAATCTTTTCATAGTCTATTTGCTTGTCAATAGCTTTAAAGGTTATTTTCCTAATAAATAGTTTTGCAATCTTATTTTTCGGGTTTTCCATATTTTTGTTTTTATTTGAAAAATAATGACGTATATACGTAGTTGACTATGCGTGCAGCTTGGACTTTTCACATTGTATGGCAGAATACTGAAATATATATAGCGAGAACAAGAATTCAATATGCGGTTTACCCTGACAGCTGTATTTTTCTAACAAAGTTTTTGGAAAGGTCCCTTTTCGAATTGAATTCAATAAATAACTCATAAGGAACAGTGTTTGATAAACAAAAACAATCTACTAAAATACCTTTATAGACCTACAACATAACAAATCTATGAAATTGGTCTATGGGCGTTGGGGCAGGTACATGCAGAATATAGCGGGATTCAACATATTAGCCGGGCTCCCAAACAAAAACAATCTACTCAAATGACACCTTTATTGACTTTCAACATAACAAATATATGAAATGGTATATGGCCGTTTATCCCCATATGTGAGTATCTTGGTCAAAAGTAATATTTGTTTACTTACGGCAATGTGTTTAACACGACGCGCACCGGTTTTGATTACAATAAATGAAATATTTACAAATAACATAAAGACAACCAAAATGCCTCACCCTACATCAAGTACACGTACATTTGTTTTTGCCCCGATGGTGAATGTAGATTTCTTTGAAATATGTTTTGTTCGGTAACATAACAAACTTAATGACTTGTTATAAAGATCCCGTCGTTATCAGCTATGTCTTCCTCGGCTTTGTTTTGGGCAATAATTTGCAGCTCATGGATATTTCTTCTCTTTTAAATAGAGTTCGTTTATAATTCAACAGCTTGCAACGAAATCAGGCCATTGGATTAGCCTGTCCCTATAGGATCAGAACGACGTAAATCTATAGGTATATAACGAATTTTCCATAACGAAATGAGTCTTTTAACATGGTATTTAGTGTGTTCCAGTGACAGCTTTTTTAATGAATTTAACATAAAAAATAAGAAGATATGGAATTATTGCCAATGAGACAACTCTCCACAAGAGACGAAATGACGTAGAAGTTATATAGGTCACCGTATGACCCTAAGAAATGCGAAAAATCATACCTTATTACAAACTATAAAAGGCAGCGGATGACAAATGTATAACAATTCAAACGAAAAACAAATATGATATTCAGCAACAAACGGCAGCCACTGAATTACATACTCCTGACATGGGACAGGTACATACAGCATATGGCGGGATTAAACATGTTAGCCGGGCTCCCAAATTTCACAGAACCTGGGACAGTTGTGTAACAGCATAACATAGGAACAAAATATAAACATCAGTTGCAAAGGACTGAACTCGATATATTGCTACAAATCAAAACAAATAACTGAAACACAAAAACAAAGTACAGATCTGTGAGTACTCACAGTTATTGAAAGTTAGTTAAAATCCAAAACACAACTAATACAACATCATATATCTAAGAATAAAATATCAATCAGTACAAATCCAACATCCAATGGATTTATTGCAAAGACGTCATCGTATTGTTCAATGTCAAACTATAGGTATCGACAGGCTGTAGGACCGTGAATGTACATATGTGTATAGCAATAATATTTAGTTGGGTTTTAATTCATTGGTAAACAAATGAATATTTTTAACGATGAAAACAATATTCAAAGATCTAATTTAGAATAAGTGTATATAAGTCTGCTGTAACAAAACAAGAATAAGAATTTAAAAAATTGTATTTTATAAACATCAAAAACCCGGCATCGGTGTTAAGATCAAGTAAGTAATAATATCTACAAAGAAAATAAACCTATGTATCGTATATTATACAGTAGAATAAACATGAGATACCTTACTGAAATAATCTTAATGATTACCATCGAGGCCAATAGTTTGGAAAACCTGAAAGGAGTAAGGCCCAGTTAGACCCCTTTTTGGCCCCAAAATATAGCATTTTTACAAATTTGTTAAAAATGTAACCTTTTAGCTAATCATTGGAAAGTATAATTCTTTTTGTTACATACACATGGGCTGGTTTTTTTTTTCATTATAATGCACAGGCATCAGGTACTAGCATCATTAATTCATGCAAAATTACTGAAATCTTCGCAATTTTAGCATTTGTGCTAATTTTTAGATGGTTTTTGTCTAAAATGGAAGTGGCGGCACTTGTGTTCATTTTTAATATTGAAATATATGTTGTATTTGATTATAATACATAACATATTTAAAGGTTGAGACTGAACACGAATGCGGTCACTTACATTTTAGACAAAAACCATCTGAAAAGTGACGTTTTATGGCATATTTGATAGATTTTTTTCATATTTAAGCTTACAGTTGAGCGTCTTTAATGACCAAATAAGTTCAAATCTTTAACATAAACTAATTGAATCGACTGAAGTAGATAGACACTTAAATGTTTAAAAAATGTCAAAAATCTTTCGTCAGATGTACTTCAAATTTAAGGCCAAAAGTCGCCATTACCGGACCTTCTCCTTTGTGAAGATACTAATATCGAGGTTTGCTACTAGATATTTTTTTATTTTTTTTATTTTTTTTTGTAGATATATGCTTGGCATAGCAGGTGTGCCAAGTTTAATCCAGTTCGTTGGATTTTTCTTTTTGCCAGAAAGTCCAAGGTATCTTGTTAACAAAGGGAAAGTAGAAGAAGCTAGAAAAGTTTTAGAAAAGTTGAGAGATTCATCAAATGTTGACCATGAAATGAGAGACATAGAGAAATCTGTAAAAGAGAGTAAAGAATTTGAGCAGTCAAGTAAGTTATTGTTATAAAGTATATTTTTTTTTCGATAATTCTTTATCAATATAAAAATAAGGAGATGCGGTATATAAAGGCAACAGTAGTATACCGGTGTTCAAAAGTCATAAATCGATTTAGAGAAAACAAATCCGGGTTACAAACCAAAATCGAGGAAAACACATCAACTGTAAGAGGAAAACAAATGAACAACAGGAACACCGAAGTGCAACAATAACAAACGCCAACACACAATTCGCCGTTATTCTCCGTACAGTTAACCGCTTGATTTACATGAATTTCTCTGTGTAAAAAGTAGTTTTTTTTCAAAATACAGTGTTGTTCAAGCTTAAATGTGATATACCTTTGTTCTACGAAAACGTCAAATGGATAGTTGCAGGATAAATGTGTTTTTATCAAGTTTGAGCTCGTCACATTCTTCGTTGAACAGGTACCACCCGGGCCTATCCGATTCTGACGATTTGAAGAGAGAGACAGCCATTTAAGGATCTCAATCAGCCCTTAATAGTAGCTACATTAGTCGGAATCAGTATCACAAAACTTTACTTGTCAGCAAAACGTAGAATATAATGAAAATAAGAAGAATTTGACCTTACCTGACTTCACATTTGTATTTTCCATTGCTTCGGTGGTAACTATATCCGGTGGTAACTCTATACAGTGGTCACATTTTTGACACATTTTCAGTTCCAACGATGTTGTTCTTACTTTTTCGTCACATATAGTTAACAACATCAACGGAAATATATTTAGCGCGGAAATATAATTAGCGAGCAATATTAATTAAGGTAACAGGTACGTAAAGAGGCAATCTCACGGATTTGTATGAAATTTTGCAAGCAATTACAGCATGTGGAACTGCATATGAATATCGAAAAAATAAATAAGTAACTTTAATATTTTCGGATGAAAAGCATTTTGAATGGTCCCTAGAAAGAAGTACAAATATATAGGATGCATGTAAATATCTAGTCTGAATATGCATGAACTACACTGAATTTAAACAAGCCATTATCAGTTATTATATAATATTCAAAATTTGTATTTTGAAACGCATAAATGCATGAGCTTCGGAGAACTAGGTTACACTTACAATTTCGTTAGTATTTCTTAAATATATCTTAAGGAAACAGAAGATTTTAGTTTCTCGCAAATTTTGATTAAATTAGGGGACAAAAGGCATTGTGATTTACATTTTATGACATGATAATTGAAATGGTTCATACATTTCATATTTATTTTTAGATGTGTTTGCCACAATTGCAAAAATGCTTGGTAATCAGCCCGTAAGAAAAGCATTACTTCTAGGATGTCTCATGCAGTTTTTTCAACAACTATGTGGAATAAACACGGTCATGTGAGTAATAAGTATAATATATGAATATAAGTATAATATATAAATATGTTTTGACAAATTTTTCGGCTGAACAAATGGCCTTCGTCAATTAAAAAGATTATCGACACCTACGAAGGCTATTTGTTCAACCGAAATATTTGTCAAAACGATTTTATAACATCATCTTCGTATATTACCATCTTATGTTAATACCGTTACGCAAATCTTTAGACTTATATATAATTAAGATCTATTTTGTTACATCTGGTGATCCGTTTATTTGGCAATCGCCATGGCAGTCAGCAGTGTTTAAAACATCCGTTGTTCGACCTGCTAGTCAAACAAGTTTTGTTAAAATATATTTTTTCACTTTTTTGGTCTTTTGGAAAATGTTGTTTGTGCTGTATTTAGGGTCCGTGTATATTTGCGTCCATTCGTTTTTCATTTTGAAATATCAAAAACAAAAAACAAAAAACGAGAGTGTTTTCATTTTTCGTTTTTGATTTCTCAAAAACCAAAACGAAAAACAAAAGTGTTTTCATTTTTCGTTTTTGATTTCTCTAAAACCAAAACGGAAAACGAAAGTGTTTTCATTTTTGTTTTTGATTTCTCTAAAACCAAAATGAGAATCTAAAGTGTTTCCGTTTTTCGTTTTTGATTTCACTAAACAAGAATTTTGTATCTAATTTTAATTATTTCTCGTTTTATAATGTACACTGTTTTCCTTTCTTGTTTCACAGTCATTGATAGTAAATAATGCCAATGTAAACACCCCGGTGTTCTTTCAACATAATGTAGACAAAATAGACCGCCTGACTTATGAATTGAACTACGGTTATAAATGAATCAAAGCCTTTCAAATTACCTTGTTTATATCTTTAATAAAAAATAAATTATTATATTTAAATATCAAACGAATCATAAATTTAAATTGTACAATATAATATTATATAAAGATGGTACAAATAAATAGATTGATTACAACATCACATTAACAAGGGAGGTTACTACTTTTTGAAACTTATAAGAAAACTACCCCGGTCGTTAAAGTATATACATGTATGCACAGTCACTGTGGTTATCAGATCTTTAATCGATTTAATTTAAATTTATTATGGAAGATAATGTCGACGGATGCAAAAGACTTTATCAATCTGAACAAATTTAGAAAGGTTGATCTCAGATGATTAGAATTCATAACCAAGGTCCATTATACGAACATTCAGGACGATAATGTGTTTTGCTTGATCAATTGATTGAAAAACAAATTTCCGCAATTTCACAATTCAAACCGGGATTAGCATTCAATCGTTTTGCCATTAGGAGCCTACTCGGTATTAGTTTTGCTTATTTTTGAAAGCTATATGGTGACCTTAACTAGAGCCTGGGTGTGGATGGGGGTTTACGGAATAGAGAATAGTGGGCAAAAAATATGAATAATAGAGACAATGGACCAAGAAATAAAAAAAAAATAGAATAATGAGGTGTTAAAATATAAAGAGAACAGAATAATTGGCAAAAAGTATATAGAAATAAAGAGTAGAGAAAAATGGCCTGAAACACTGATTAAAGAATAGAGAAAATCGGCATACAATATCAAAGAATACAGAAATGAAGAACCCCGTATCCAGACCATCATCCTAGTTGCCTAAACCAACGTTATTTTGTCTCCGGTAGATTGTTATTGGTTATCATACGTTTTCTTTTTATTTCTATGCCTATCAATTAAGACATGAGCTTTCATAATTTGCCAGCTTATTACATTATAAAAAAAGACTAAGCCTAACATCACTCTGGGTTTTTTCTCAAGTGGACCTCAGCTACCTACCCTACCACACCATTACCGAAAAGTTAATAAAAAAAAATCTACGGCAATACTAGGTGCAAAGGGAAGTTGGGTAGCTGAAGTCTACTGGAGAAAAAAATCCAGGGTGTTATTCGTCTTAGTTTTTTTTAAGTAGGTCCAAAGTTGGGGTCCGCGGACACCCAACCCCACCCTTACCGAAAATTTAATAAAAAAAATTCTAAGGCAATACTTTTGTCCGCACTAAGACAAAGGGAAGCTTAGTAGCTGAGGTCTACAGTAGAAAAAAACACAGGGTATTTTTCAGCTTATTTTTTTTCTAAAGTAGGTCCAAAGTTGAGGTCAGATACCCTACCCAATCCTTACCGAAAAGTTATCAAACAAAAATTCTATGGCAATACTTTTTTCCGCACTAGGTGCAAACGTAAGCTAGTGACCTAGCGCCTACTTGATAAAAATTCCCAGTTTGGGTAAATCACAGATTATTTTTTAAATCTAATAAATAATTTCCTTGCCCACCATACTTTGAGTACAAAAAATAAACCTTTCGTCCAATCATAAGTAAGCGAAATCAACTGTTTCAGAAGTAGAATGTTTTGTCAAAACAGTTTTGTGTGGCAAAAAAAAAGTTAAAGCACGAGTGCAACGTTTTTTTTCTTCTAATGCAGAACAATTGTTACTTTTCATGAACTATTTGACAGGATGCCGAGAATATGGAAAGCTATTTCACACAATAGTGCAATTTTGCCAACATTTAAATAATTTCATAATTATTTACGATTCTATATACACTCAAAAGTGTTGACTATTTGAAATGTAAAGCGTGCAGCAAGCTGTGTGATGAATTGAAAGCAATTTCTATTGTATTTATATAATTAATGAACAAGAAATGAAATTTTGAAATTCATTGAATAGTGTCTTTGACTGCTTAATTATATATATAAAAAAAACTGATAATATAGTGGTTATATATTAATAAAAACATTTGAAGTACGTTTGAATCTTATGCAACATTTGGGTTTATATAAACATCTGAAAACTGGCTGCTAGCAAAGTGGCTGGTAGCGAGTGGCTGCTTGCTTGAACCTGGTCTCACAAAATCCGCATTTTCATTCACGTCTTCACATTACAGGTTTTGATAAACGTTTAGTAAATTATGTCAATGTGAAGAAAATGACCCGTATTATGCCAACAACTGGTTTTAGAATTAATTAGTTTATTTCCGATGCAAAGACCTTATAAGTGAATCAATATTAATACAAAAATATGTCATCTTTAATGATTCCTCATGAGGTTTTTGATTATGTGATTACTTGGCCGTTTTTTTTAGTGATTATTTGATTACTAGACCAAATATTTCATGATTATTTGAATATCTAGGACTGTATTTTAGGTTAATTGATTACCAAGTTTAAACAATAAATTTGTGTGTATAGCATACATATAAAATTTGGCTTGAAAGACGTTATTTTTTTTTCGCCTCGCTCCGCTCGGTAAAATTGTTAAGAATTAAGTCCGAAGATTGAACGCGCTTGTCCAGTAATCTTATTAAATTCATACAAAACGAAATCAGATATATATCTTTTAATTAGATTGGTTCGTCTAATTTAGTATTTTTATCTGAAGTAAATTTACTAACTTCTTTAATAAAGGATTTGAACAAGAATGTGTCCATAGTACATGAATGCCCCACTCGCACTATCATTTTCTATGTCCAGTGAACCGTAAATTGCGGTCAGAACTCTAATTTGGCATTAAAATTAGAAAGATCATATCATATGGAACATGTGTAGTGAGTTTCAAGTTGATTGGACTTCAACTTCATCAAAAACTACTTTGACCAAAAACATTAACCTGAAGCGGAACAGACGGATGAACGGAAGAACAAACAGACACACAGACCGGAAAACATAATGCCTATAAATGGGACATACATTCACAAAATGTGCTGAAATTGAATGAAGGTCTTGTAAATCTCAATTAGACCATAACAGGCATATCCGAATAAAGTTCCCTGAAGTCACAAACAACTTCCCTCACTTGTAGATATATTTCCACTACTTCTGCAATATTGTATTTATCAATAATAATATAAATAGAAATTGTATGCATGTAAATTAAAAACGATCAGGGTAAACTTATCAATCCTTTAAATAAACTTATTTTAAAAGATTACCAATTGAACACTGTATATAGATCTTTGAATATTGTTTTTATTGGTATAAATATTAATTTTGTTATCAGTACCTTAAAATTATACTACATATTATTGTTATACACATCAATGTACTACAATCTGTTGATACCTATGATTTGGCATTGCACAAAGTCATGTCTTTCTCTGACTGTTAATGACGTCTTTACACTAAATCCATTGGGATGTTGGATGTGTACTGATTGATATTTTAGTCTTAGATACATGATTTTTGTATTAGTTGTTATTGGCTTTAAACTAGCTGTCAGTACTGCGATTACTCTCAGATCTGTACTTTGTGTCCTTTTTTGTTTGTTAAGGATGTATAAATACCCTGCCACGTCCGGTCTGTGCTTTTGTTTGATGTTTTTTTCTGTTTTGTATCGATCTGATATGTTAAGCCCTTTTCAATTGATTTTTATTGTTTGTTCTTATGTTGTTCTGTAACAAAACTCGTCCCAGGTTAACGGGAGGGTTGAGCGCTCACTTGCATGTTTAACCCCGCCACATACTGTATGTGCCTGTCCCAAGTTAGAAGCCTGTAGTTCAATGATTGTCGTTTGTTGATGTCTGTCATATTTGTTTTTCGTTTTATTGTGTTATAAATTAGGCCGTTTTTTCTCAACTGAACTGTTTCATATTTTTCATGTCAGAGCCTTTCGTAGCCGACTATACCCTACTGGTTTTTTCTCATTGTTGAAGGTGGTACGGTTGCCTATATATAATTGCTTACATCCACTTTATTTGAACATTGGGGATAGTTGTCACATTGGTAATCATACCACATCTCCTTATTAAAATGTTGAGGGGGGAGGGGGTTGAAATTTGTATTTCTTAGGAAAGTTCCAATGTTTTCCTCCCAGGTCACCCAGTTTTAATTGAATATTTTCTCATTTTGCTGTGCCCTTGGATTTGTATTTAAGGCCAACCAGAGCTTACTGCCTGTTGGTGGGTAGTTGAAGACCATATGGTAAGCTCTAGGTGTTTTTTGTGTATTGTATATGGTGATTTGGTGATGTCTTC